TTTTGTGTTTTAGAATGGGGAAATTTTCATAGAAGGCTAAAAAAGGAACAGGTCATTGTATGGTTATTTCCTATTCAATTTCTGCACAACACAGGAATAACTCATTTCATTTACTTGACACACTTGATTTCATTCTATATAATTCTGTATAGAACCATCACCAACATTTCTTTGCCTCCCTATGTAGTAAAACTCCTTGGGTTGTCTATACTTGATACTATTGCCTGACATTTCTCTTCTCATTCCCTCTCAAAGTCTTTATTATAAAATGCCTCAAATTTACAGAAGGTTTTCAAGGATAGAACATTCATATACCCTTTACCCAGAGGAACCAATTATTATTTGGCCCTGTTTGTCTTTGCTATCTATAGTTTTTGTAACCTCTTGGGAATTCATTGTATACATCATGCCCATTTATCCCTAAATATCTCAGCATGTATTTACCTTTTTTTAAATTTATTTTTAAATTATCTATTTATTTACTTATTTTTTTTTTTAAGAGAGAGAGAGAGAGAGAGAAGGGTGGGGAGGGGCAGAAGGAGAGAGAGAATCCCAAGTAAGCTCCACGCCCAGCTCAGAGCCCAACTCAGGGCTCGATGTCAGGACCCTGAGATGATGACCTGAGCTGAAACCAAGAGGCCACCGCTTAACTGACTGAGCCACGCAGGCATGTCCCAGCACGTATTTTCTAAGAACAGGAGCCTTCTTTTGCAAACCACAGTTCCATCAGCATGTTCAAGAAATGTATAGACAGAATTTGAGTATCTCATATATTATGTCCATATCCAAATTTCACAAATTATCCTAAATAAGCCATTTTTGGAAATTTTCTCCTGATCCAGGATCTCATTCAGAGTCACGTGAATGCATTTAGAGCGCTCTATCTGGTATCCATTATTCTGAAATTGTACCAGAGACTATCTTTGTCTTTCAGATCATTGACATTTTTTAAGAATGCAGGTTAATTATTTTGTAGAAGATCTTTCAGCATAGGTTCTCATGATGTTCCCTCTTCCTGGGGATCGGAGCAAGAACACAACACAGACCATGTTGCACCCTCAGTGTTATTACACCATAAGCCTGTAATGGCAACTTCTCCCATTACTGGGGAGGTGAACTTTGGTTACTTAGTGAAGATGCTGCCCCCTCTACATTTGTCCACTAAAAAACTACACAGTTCTTCCTTTCCAGTTAGAAACTCTGTGGGGAGATACTTTGATATTACAAATTATCCTGTTGCTTTTTAAACTTTCACTGAGTAGTTTCAGCATCCATCAATGATTTGGGCCCGAAGCAGTTATCACCATAAAAGTTGCAAAATGCTGGGGCACCTGGGGGGCTCAGTCAGTTGAGCATCTGACTTTTGATTTCAGCTCAGGTCATGATCTCAGGGTTGTGATACTGAGTCCCATGTCAGGCTCTGTGCTGGGCACGGAGCCTGCATAGGATTCTCTCTCTTCCTCCTCTTCTGCCCTCTCCGCCCCTCTCTCTCTCTTAAAAAAAAAAAAAAAAAAGGTGTAAAAAGTAATTTTCTAACTCTGTTAGTTCCTCTGCATTATGGGTAGACTCTCTGCAAGGGAGAGCTTCCCCTTCTCATTTATTTACTTACTTGCTTACTTACCATCAGTGTGGATTAATGGATTCTTCTTTCAGTCCATGGTTTATAATCAGCTCTTCCATTATTCATGTTGATGCTCAAAGTTTCCCATATTTGCGCAGAGGGACCCCCTGCAAGTCATCTCCTTTGTCATTTTGTACTGTTCCCATCATTTCTCGAGCTCTCCCCTACCTTCCAGAAGGCCAAGAGGTTGCATTTCTTCTTGTACTTTGCCTGCCCCAGTCCTAGACTTGGCCATTTCACTGAGGTGGTCTGGTTTCTTTTAGTGAGAAATTGTGTTTTAAAACAAAATCTGGGTGCTCGATGTATGGCTGAGGTGTTGTTGCTTCTAGCACAGAATAAAATGTGCTCTATTAAGTGCATAGTTCAGTGAATTTTGACAAATTCTTATTCCCATGGTCAATTTTCAGTCTTTGTTGTTTTGATCTATTAACAGCATTCAATACTGAGGATCTCACCTTCCTTCTTGCAATATTGTCTTCACTATGCTTCTGGGAAATGCTGGGTTTTCCCTATCCCCACTGGATACTCCTCAGTCTCCTTTGGTTTTCTCTGCTCTTCTCTATACCATTTCAAAGTTTAAATACTGCAGAACTCAGACTCTGATGCTTTCCTCATCTGTATATACCATTACTCCCTAGGTAATCCCATCTGACAACTCCCAGATTTGTAACTCTAGCCCAGTCTTCTCCCGGGTTTTATATCCACTTGTTTTTATCTGACATCTCTGCCTGAACTTCCAATGGACGTCAAAATCCAACATGTGCAAAACCGAAATCCATCCCATACCTGGCCCACCTGTGGCTTTCCCATCTCAGGTGATGATGGCAGCTGCATTCTCCTTGTTATTTAGGGCAAAAACTTGGAGGTTCCCAAAGTATGGGATCTCCAGATCCCTGACTCCACTTCTGGTCCCTCCACTCGTCCCACCACAGTCTGAGCAGTTATAATTTCTTGCCTGGATTATTTCAAGGCCTCATAGCTGGTCTCACTACATCAAAGCTTTCTTTTACAATCTGCTCGCCACACAGGATGACCCTTTTTAAATGTGTGATCATATCACTCTTCTCTCAAAATTTTGCAGTGGCAGGATGATGCCTGGGTGGCTCAGCCAGTTAAGCATCTGACTTAGATTCAGGTCATGATCTCAGGGTCCTGGGATCGAGCCCTGCATTGCGGGGGAGAGGGGAGTCCCTGCTCAGCAGGAAGTATGCTTGTCCCTCTCCCTGTGCCCCTCCCCCCTCCCCCCACTCATGCTCTCTCTCTCTCTCTCTCTGTCCCACTCTCAAAAAAATAAATAAAATCTTAAACAAACAAACAAACCTTTGCATTGGCTCCTCATTTCATTCAAAGTAGAGCTCAAACTGTTAGAATGAGCTACAAGACCCTTTTAATTCTCATGCCCACCTTTGCTCTGAGACCTCACCTCTCACTCCTCCCCCTTCCTCTCCTTCTTATCCACGTGGAATTCCTGCCGCTCCTCCCACATGCTAGCATGCCAGGAGGCTCACTCTAGGGACATTCAAGCTGGTCCCTCTGTGAGGAAGGTATTTCCTCAGATCACTGTTTGGCTAACTTCCTCATCTCCTTCATTTGATTAGACTGTACCCTCTACAAAGGCCCACCCTAACTATCCAAACACAGAAGGCCTGGTCCCTCACTTTCAGCCTTTCTGGCTACTCCCCATTGTTCTTCCCACCTTCTAATACAATTTTTATAAATTACTTATTTTTTCATTTATTGGTTATCACATGTCTTTTTGTGCTGGAAAGTAAACTTCATGAGTACAGGCATCTTTGTTTTGCTCATCGGAGGATCTAGAACCAAAGGATATCACTGGGCCTCTATGTTTTAAATAAATGGATGAACAACTTTGTCTTGTACTTTGACTTGATAAATCGGTAGAAATGAGTAAGAACTCACTAGTAGAACTGAGTCCACATATACCATTTTTAATTTGGCCATGTGCTTAACACCCAGGTTCCGGTTACACTGCTCTTTCTGGGTGTGTATTTGCCTCTTTCCACACAGGAAATCTAGATCCATTTTAAAAATAGAAAGCATTTCGGTCAGGTGGGATTTCCAGAGAACAGTGGGTTTTGCCTGCCCTGAATTAAGCCTTTGCATGCATAATACAGCCCAAGTAACAAACTGATCATCATCAGTCCCTGCCGTCAGGGAGGGCCACATTGCCCACTCTTTCCTCTGCTTCTCTATCCGCTGTGATTCTGAGTTCCCTAGAGGAGAAGGGGAGACAGAAGGCAGCATGAAAGAATCCAGAATTTCTTTATATACGGACTCTACATTTTCCTAGTAGACCATTCAATTAACTCCAGATTCAAAATGGGCAGCACACGTCACTTAAGTGGCCCTGGAGTGATTCATAGAATTTTAGCTGAGATAAAACATACCTTGACAGCCTTTCAAGTAATGTGCCTGGGTTATTTCTGGACAATCACCATGATGTCAACAGTCAAGTTTTAAAAGGCACATGTGACATGAGTATTAAAATATCTCTACTGACAGGATCAAAACTTTCCTGGCCGCTAGTAAAAAAGAATGTACTCCATTAGAAAGTAGACACCCTCTCTGCTTCTTGTCCAGAAAATCTAGGTCACCTCTCTTGATTCCCATGCCACTGGTGTTCCTGGGACATTAGGAAACATTTTCCTCATGTATAAGCTAGTGTATTCTCAGCCCTTTTAATTTAGAGAGTGTAGGATGAGAACCTTGTTTAAATTATGGAGGCTTGGTTTTAATATCATAGAAAAAAAGCATAACTCTTCCTTTCAAATGCATGCAGAAGTATGCAGATTTTACTTACTTAGCACATCAGTGCCATTAATAAGAAAATGAAGATTTTAATTTATATATCTCATGTCTTCTAAAATCACATTCAGAAATATCTTGACATTTTAATGAAGGTAATACATAAGAAAGGTCATTTTTGTTCTAAGACGACTTCAAATGCAGAGTTAAATAGGCTATATCTAAGAAAGCACTGAGAGCATATTTTAAGTTTATCTCCTTTATAATACATTGGAATCTTACATCGGGCTCCCTGCTCATGGGGGAGTCTGCTTCTTCCTCTCCCTCTGCCTGCTGCTCCCCCTGCTTGTGCTCTCTCTCTGTCAAATAAATAAATAAAATCTTAAATATAATACATTGTATGGGATTGAGCCCCACATCAGGCTCTCTGCTCAGCATGGAGCCTACTTCTCCCCGCTCCTCTCTGCCTGCCTCTCTGCCTACTTGTGATCTTTGTCTGCCAAATAAATAAATAAAACCTTTAAAATATATATATAATACATTGTATTTTTACATAGCGGAGAAAATAGGGCTTTTAAAATACATAACTTCTGTATTTGATTACTTTCCACAGATACAACACACTCAGGGGAAATTGGCACTAAAAAAAAGGTGAAAAGACTGTTAAGCTTTCAAAGATACTTCCATGCATCAAGGCTGCTTCGTGGAATTATACCACAAGCCCCTCTCCACCTGCTGGATGAAGACTACCTTGGACAAGCAAGGGTGAGTTAGTTTCCCCTCTGTCACCTCCCAGGAGGTCAGGGGCTAAGTGCATGTACCTCAGCTGATAGTACCAGAAGTCAACTTCTACCACTGAGACGCTCTGTGACTCTGGCTAGTTAATCAATACATCTGGACTTTTTCCTCAAATATGATATGAAGTTAATAGAAATACCCACTCATAGGGGTGATATAGAGATTACAGAAGGTAAAGCATTGCTTATGTGTTTCAGATATTCATGCCTAGCACATGCTAGCTACTTTCGTTTCTACAAATGGGTGAAACATATTTGCACAACACTAAGTAAAGTAAAATTTTGGACTGATCAGTTACCAGTGAGAGAAGAACTCAATCTTTAAGCCCAGTGAATTGTCTCATTGTAATAGCTATGTTGAAAGTAACCCATTAATGACCAACTCTTAATTCCACTTCCGTCTACCGATACGGTATGTCATCCTTTATACATTTTTTATTTTATTTAAATAATTTTCACAAATTTTATGATTATTTTTGCAATTCATTGGTCAAAGGTTGAAATTAAAATGTGACAATCTAAAAAAAAAAAAAAAGTTCTAAAGTTATCTCTAGCCCAAACTGTCAAAGGAGTTTAAATTTCAGGATAAATGGCCACAGTTTAAACAGAAATCAGAAGTAGTGTCCTAGAGTTTACATGGCTATGTAATATTATGCTAGCTATATACTATTAAGAAATATATACTATTACTGTATAATATTAGTATCTAAGCAATAAGTAATATCAGAAGAACTACTACTTCAGGTCTAAAAAAAGAAAAAAATCACTCCTAACAACCCAAGGCCTGAGAGTGAGTGAATGTTGTTTGTTTATTCGTTTGGTTGGTTGGCTGGTTGGTTGGAGAAAGAAGAGCAAAACTAAGTGAGCTCCCAGTGCAGGGGCATCAGCAGCAGAGCACTCTTGTGGGGCTCTCCCTCCAAGGTTCACCCCTCAAGAGAGACGACATTGAGACATAGAAAGGACTGTGTGTCACAAGTCAGGATATCAGGGATCAAGTTCTGATTCTGCTTTAGTATTTGACTTGGATAAAATGTTCACACACACTAGATCTCACAGGTCACCTATTAGTCCTTCATTTCTCTGGTAATGATGGAAGGTCTTTGTGTGCTATGACAAGGCTCTTAGACTTACTTGAAGATGCAGGGAAGACATTTAGGGGCAGGAAGAGGGGAGTGATCTGGTCCTTACTGGAAGCAGTGGCTTTGAGAGGAGGGGAAGGCCAGTTGCGGAAGCCGCAGTGAGGATAGAATCTGTAACCATAGCTTTGCATGGGGGATTTAAACAAGAAAAACAGGATAATAAGCCTACATTGGAGAGTAGGTCTTTAAATTACCCAACATTTTCCATGGCCCACTTCACTTTCCTATCTATTAGAGTGGTTCATTTCACATTTAGTCCACATTGAGCAGAGTAATGTGCTCAGCAATCATTTTGACTTCATTTTTTAGAAATTTGCTATAAACATTCTCCTTAAGTATATAGTCATTTGCAATGTAGAGGCTTTACTGAACTACAATTTTAACAGATATCAAATTTTATGTGTGCTTATTGTGTACAAACACCATTCTAAGCACTCCACATACGTTGCCTTCTTTAACCATCACAAAAATCCTGAGGTAGATTATATTATCAGCTATATTTTTCAAATAGGAAACTGGGGTATGGAGAGGTTAAGGAACTTGCCCAAGCCCCCACAACCAGTGAGGGATGTGGCTGACACCGAACCAGGAGTCTGATTCTTTTCAGGCTCTTGTTAGTAGAGCAAGATTTGTTTTACCACAAGCCAGATAGCAATGTGCTACTATTTCCAACTTTTTAATTGTTTCACTCACTGTCTCAAAGTAAATGTTTGAGTCTCCAGTATGATTCATTTGACTGCTGTTTTTCGTTTGCCTTTTCAGCATATGCTCTCCAAAGTGGGAATGTGGGATTTTGACATTTTCTTATTTGATCGCTTGACAAATGGTAAGTCACCCCAAAGAATCCTATTTCCAAACACTGTTATTCATTTTCCCTTCTTTTTCCACTTTCGTAAGTCTACAGCCACTCCGGAAGGGCCAGGCCAAGGGAAAATTAATTCAGATGAAAAGTAAGGACTATATTTGGCCTTAGAACCTTAAGACCATTTTCCTTCTGGCCTTGATGATCCCAAAGGAATTTGGAAACCACACATTAGATTCTTTCCTCACAGACTACTTTGGCCACATCCAAATGGAGGCTTTTCATTGTTAGTGAAAACTAGAAACACTAAAGCTCATATGACCAGGCCTGACCCCTATAGGGCAGGTGTCTATGCATTTTCCTTCAGGGAGCTGAAGCTCGCCCAATGCAGGTCTTGATCAGATATGCTCGGCATTACTGAAGGAAAACACTGGCTGATTACGCAGTGTAAAAGTTTTGGATGTAGCTGAAGGGGAAAGTAGACATTACCACTGGTTTCACATTTAGAATCTTGGTGCCTATAAAGACTTTCTTAAAGAAAACAATACAATTTGGTTATATATTCGTCTGCCCATTAAACAAATACTGATAGGCTTAGGGAGCCAATGAAAGACGTCATATGTAATGCTGACCTTCACATGTCCCACCGCATCATTACAGATGGTTTTCTCACCGTTCGGTTACTTGACAAATAACATACAGTTGAGAAAAACAGCCTAAGAGTGTGAAGCAGAGCTTTACACTGTGGAAAGCTAACTAGACCATATAGCGACAGAGCCCACAATCTTATATTTCACTTTGCTCAAATCAACTGAGAAATGAGTACCAGTAGATGAAAATAACTATGAATAAAAGCATTGGTTCAAAAGAGGATAATCATGACTCTCATAGGGATATGAAATGAGCACATGTCAAAGATTTAATTCAATTAATTAGCCATCCAGTAAGATGCCATCAAGAAAGAAAGAACGAACGAACAAAAGAACGAACGAAAGAAATCTTGCCATTTGCAATGACATGAATGGAACTAGAGAGCATTATCCTAAGCAAAATAAGTCAAACCGAGAAAGGCAATTATCATATGATCTCTCTGATATGAGGAATTGAGAGGCAGGGTGGGGGGCCATTGCAGGGGGTGGGGAATGAAACAAGATGGGACTGGGGAAGGAGACAAACCATAAGAGACTCTTAATCTGAGAAACAAACTGAGGGTTGCTGGGGTGGTGGGTGGGAGGGATAGGGTGGCTGGATGATGGACATTGGGGAGGTTATGTGCTATGGTGAGTGTTGTGAATTGTGTAAGACTGATGATTCACAGACCTGTACCCCTGAAGCAAATAATACATTATATGTTAATTAAAAAAAAATGCTAAAACTAGGTGAAGGGAAAATTCAAAGAACAACACATATATAAACAGTAAGAAATGCTTAAATGAATTTATTAATAGCTGTAAAACTGCGAAGAGGAAGTCAACTATATTCTGTTGTCAAACAGTGATTCTGTTTGCATGTTATGGACAAGAATCACTTGCAATGCTATCAGTTATCTACAACTTCGAGAGTCATGAAATAGCTCAAAGACAATGGAATCTGCGGAACTGCAGGATCAGGTGCCCCAGAAGACTGTGCTTAGGCAATACTTAGTTTTCCACTTAAGACATCCGATCATCATCTTGGTCCACTGCAAAGTCTTTCATAAATTCTCTAATGCTTTTAAAATACAAAAAATCATTACTTAAATTACTCAAATTATTCAAAATTCAAAATCATTACTCTTTAGTCCATCATATTTTCTAAATCTTTACATATTTTCTAAATACTAAATGTATTGCTTCAATTTCACATCTCTGCTGGCTTAAGTTCTAAACTATCTCCTCATCAGATCTCATCCTGGGTGACTTTGCCTGGGAGCAACAAGCTCGGATTCTTAAGGAACATGGTGACTTAGATATCTCTGTAGACGTAAGAATCAGATGGAAGCAACTTAAGGCACATCGCAAGTAACCATTAAACTGTGTCTTTAAAAAATACACTCACGTGGGTGGGTGGTGTGTCCCCACAGTAGGCAGACTCTTAATGATTTCATTGCCTTTGATGTAGAGAAAGGTCTGACCTAGCTTGTTTCATTTGTACAATATGAGAAAACCTAGGACCAAACCATAAGAATAATATCTTTTATACTGGAAAAAATTCAACTCTAATAGGGAAAAGGAGACCTACCGGAGAACTTTCATTACAGAAACTTTGGATCCTTTTGTCAATCTCGATATTTTAATGGTGATAAAAATGAGTTAAAGCAAGTGACTGTTTTCCTACAGGAAACAGCCTGGTAACACTGCTGTGCCACCTCTTCAACACCCATGGACTCATTCACCATTTCAAGCTAGACATGGTGACCTTGCACAGGTTTTTAGGTAAGTCTTCATTTCCATATTCCTACCTCCTTTCCCCTGAATGATGGCAGTCCATAGTATTCTTTAACATAAAGTGGCAACAGTGATAGCTGGAAAATGAAGATATCAAGTTAATCTTAAATTATCTCATCTTAATTTTAAAATATGGTTTACCCCTTTTAATCAGTGAAAAAATTATTTACTCAATTAGCTATGTTTACAATAGAGAAAAAAATGATATAAAGAAAACCATGTGACCATTAAAGAAATTACAGATCAGTTTACATATCAGCAAAACCCCAAATAATTCCAATCTGGACATGAGCTGTTAAAATTCTTCAATAGGCTTTTTTTTTTTTTTAATATAAGAAGAACTACTGTTTACGTAGAGCTCGCGACCTACAAGATGCCCTCAATGTGTTATTTCTAACTGTTTCACCAGCTCTGCAAGTTGGGTGTTGTCAACGCCATTTGGCGCACAGTTAAGGAAAAGTAGAAAGAGGTTTCATAACTTGCTTGAGGTCAACAACTTGTAACTGGCAAAGCCTCTGTCCAAGCCCAGGTCTGTCTGACTTGAAAGTCCGCCACTATCAAAAACAGCCCCAGTTCTTACCGGACTTAATGCACATGTTTATTTATCTGCCAAATTATCCAGGGCACATTTTTAATCACCATATAACTTCCTACTGCCACTTAGCATGTTTCTGGCTTCTTCAATGTGCCCTATGGCTGTGCTTTGAATTTTGAAGCTGACTTGATGCCTTGTTGCCTCCAGAGTAAAATAACAGTGACATGATAGCAACAGAAGGAAAGACAACCAGGCCTATACAGTGCTTACATGTGCTGGGACTAAGGACTTGCATATCTTAACAACATTTCATCCTTACAGCGGCCGTTTGAAATTGGAGCTATTGTTATCCCCATTTTATAGAGAAGAAAACTGAGGAAATGTATGGTTAAGTAACTGGCCCAACCACAAACAATAAGGGAGAGGGCCAGAGTTGAAATCTAATTGTTTTTAGAAACCCGTAAAATAATACGTGGCACGAAAGAAACTTTTGAAACCAGCTACGACATGGTTCAGTTCAAGAAACACAAACAACCTCAGGCTAATTGAATTTAGATTTCTCGAGCAAAGTAATGGCCACAAATGGCCCAAATAATTTTTATTTGTCTAAAGGACAACACAGATACTTTGGCCCGCAGAGTAGTGTAAAGAATGAAAAGATTTGATGGCAGAAATAACACCCGAATTCAGGGCTAAACTTATAAAACGGGCTGAGACAATATGGCCACACTTGCAAATCTGGACATTCTATGCACACTGAACATACTGCACCCTAACCCATGGCTATGAGCTAAGGCAGGCTACCGGCTTCTGTAATTTGCAAAACAAAATCGCCTCACTTATGCCTCTACTTGGTTCCAAGAGCACTCTGGTCCTTACATTGGAAAGATGTGAGAGATGCTAGCTCGTTCTGAATAAGATAGATATAAAACCAAGGAGTTCACCATTGGATCAACACAGTACTTTGACTTTCTGCCTGAAGAAGCCTCAGATTTGCTTTGGTCAGTCTTTGGTATTCAACTGCTAAGCCAATCTTTGGATATCAGGGGCCCGACTCTACCTGGGCTCTTTAAAGGGAAACCTCTTTTATGGCACATATTATTCATAAATGGCGCAAACTTAAATAATTAAACTATGGTGTGAAATAAAGTTGTCCTTTTCCTACGTATTTATTTTTCCTATGAATGAAAGCCTTGATGTGCGCCAGAAAGGGGTGATTGATGAAGGTGGTGAGGAATCCCAGGGGCCTCGCAAATCCTTTTAGCCTTTCTCCTGTCTGCCCTCCCCCCCCCTCCCCGCTTCACTAAAAACAGCCCAGTAGAACTGCCAAGCTTGCAAACCACGTTTATTTTTAAAGGATCCCCAGGCTGCACATTTTGGAGACGCTGATATTTTTAAGCAAAAGGGATCCTCGATAGGTCTGAGCTTAGTCTGCCCTCCCTGTTTTGGTTTTAGCTGATGGAGTTATCTGTTTGCCTCCTAGTCATGGTTCAAGAAGATTACCACAGCCAAAACCCGTATCACAACGCTGTTCACGCAGCTGATGTCACCCAGGCCATGCACTGCTACCTGAAAGAGCCAAAGGTAAAAGAAGACCCGGGTGCCTCCTCAGCCATCTGGAGATGTCAAGTAAACTGCCTGCTAAGTCCCAAATCACACAACATATCAAAATAACTGTATGGGTCATTCACTCTAAGAATACAAATTATATCTATGGAAGTTCCAGGATCCACTTTGGAAGTTATATAATACACATGAAAGAGGGTGGACATTTCCCTAGGGTTTTTTTCCCCCATAATTTCTATACTTTTCAAGATTGCACTGAGGACAAAAACAACCCTTTCTATGACAATCTACATCTTAGATATCTTCAAAGCCCTCAAGAAATTAATTGTTTTGTCTTGGACCTCTGCCACAAATGGTGCCAGTGGTGAAATGCTCTGGAAAAAGTCTCCCACTGCATGGGTTTTGACTGAAAAATAGAATCAAAACTCTTCAAGACTGAAGCTCTATTTCCTACTAAGCCAACGGGGCATCCTGATGCAAGCCCAAGAGAACTTGTCAACTCCAAAGATCCCAGAGCAAGTGTGTTCTGAAGCAATAAAGCAATCCAAAGCTAAAAACGTAATAATAATAATAATCACACCTGAAACCTCAGCATTTCTCGACCATATATAACTAAATTAGCTTAACATACAGGATGTGTTTTCTTAAGGTTTTTCGAAAATGATATCCTAGTCCAAGTCTCTCTCTTTAGTTTGACCAGTTTTAATACCAATCACTAGACATACAGATGCCAGACAGGCATTCCCAAGAGAAAACTGGGTAGATGCCTCATCCTTGTAAAATATCCCATTAAAGGTTGTGTCTTTTTCATCTGTAAGTTGTCTGAAAGCTCTAATATATCACACAGTAGTATACTTAAATTTAGCACTGGATTCTCATTCTCCTGCTTGTTTTCGTAGCTACCAAAAAAATAACAGATTCTTACACATTCCCCCACAATTTATTACACATTGAAGAAATATGCAAATTTTGTAATTCAGCCCACTCTTGATTCTGTATGTACAGTGGCAATGATAGAGTGGATGGTTGAAATACACAAATGGTTTTTTTTAATGTGTCCATTTCTTTGGCTTTAAAATTTTCCTTCATTCACTGCTTTCTCTCGGAGCAAGCCTAACTTCAGGCCCTGCCTTCTCCCTGCTCAGCAGAGAACGGTCTTGACAACAGGCAACACCACTCACTACACCAATGAAAAGAAACAAGGGCAGCGGTTCAAAGAGGAGGGTGGTTGAGTGAACAATCCAGAAAAATTTGACTTGCCTAATTACTTCCCACACGGTCTTTGTTCCCCCCTGCAATTCCATGTGGTATCACCTCACTGACGGCTGCTTCAAGAGGGTAAAAGTTGGGATGGAAAGCCTGAAAAATACTGTCACAATTCAGACAGTTTGAGTCAGCCAAAACAAACGCTAACCTAGGTGGGAAAACACCAATCAATCTCCCAATGTGATTTTTTTAACAGCTCGCCGGCTTCCTCACACCTCTGGACATCATGCTTGGACTGCTTGCTGCAGCAGCCCACGATGTTGACCATCCAGGAGTGAACCAGCCATTTTTGATCAAAACTAACCACCATCTCGCCAACCTATACCAGGTAAGGGAGCTCAGTGTTGAGTCACAGTTCAGTCGACAGCCTTCAGCCCAGTGCTGGGGCCTGAGTCTCACCTTTGGAGATAGCCTTCCTTCGGGATCAGCCTCAATGACGACCACAGCCAAAGATCATGGATTTGAATAGGTCCAGGATATTTTCCAAAGATCAAATTTGTTTACACGGGTACCCGAGGAAATCCATTCTCTCCGAAGCAGATTGGAAATTATGCAAAGGAAAACAGGATCTCTGAGCCTACCCTCTCAGGATCTGAGAATATGTGTCTCTCTGGACACCATTGCATATATAATGGCCAGTTGAAGCCAGACCTTGTAGGACTTCTATAAATGATAATTCCCAGGTGTAATCCTAATTTAAACTATGTCTCTAAGACTATTTCTGAACTTGACCGGCCTCCAGGTCAGAGGTATGTTAGCAAAGATAATAGGCATATTTTGTTATTCTAAGGTAGCTCAGCAGCGTGAGTAGGTTGGCCTAGAGACCTTTTATCTCTGATGTTATTTAAGGTAGTAAAACTTGTATCAGAGATGAATAACTCCCAGAATTTTCAGGGTGGTCCTTTGGAAACCTTTGGTTGTCATTCACAAAATCATTGTGTACAAGGTAGCCATTGATCTCAATTTTAGTAGATCTTTTGAAAAACACAATGCTAAAAAATTCCTGACAGATCTCCATAAAACACCTGCATTATACAAGATGTTACAGCTTGAGGATGCATATATTTCCAATAAAGCATGATCGGAACATGAGAAAAGCATTTCCCCATCCGTTGATTAGCTTTTAGAGTAGGTGGGAACTGACATTTCCGTGTTTATGGATCCACTGGTATGTATCCAGAGCTGGGCTCTGTTGAGTGGCCAGCCAGCACCCGGAGCCAGGACAGATGTGGCCACATTGAGGGGACAAGATGACAGAACTAAGAAAGCCTTTGATGATGAGCTACAAACTAAACAAAGAAAAATAAAACCTGAAGCTAAACTTTCTAAAAGCGTATCAGAAGCTAAATTTATTGCTTGAAAAAAACACAGACATGAACAACTGGACTGAAAACCCCCAGATAGATTCTCTATTCCTGTCAATGCTGATTTTTTTCAAATGTCTTTTATTAGACAAAGGAAATCTATCAACAAAATTTCCTATTTGGTCCCTTCCCATATAAAGTAAATGCTTACATAATTCTAATTTCTTACCATCAAAGAAATCATGTCAATGAAGTTTAGGAAAGTATCTGCTGTCACTGACTGATTAGTACATAAAATGAGGGTCATAAAACTGCACTTCGGCATGTAGTATATACAAAACATGAGATGGATTCATATCTAGACAGGAAGTTAAAAAGAAATATGTCAGATGTTAAAAATAAGAAAGTCGTAGAATTGCATAAGAATTAAGTACTCATTGCGAATTAACAAAAATTGATTCTCCAAATAAAAATACTGTCTTGTTCAGATACTAAAATTGTTCTCAAAAAAATGGATTCCTTACTCAAACATTTGAAGTCCAGGAAATTTTTAATAGTTTTTATTTTAATCTCTTTGTTAAAAATAAAGATCCAATATTGGGGTGCCTGGGTGGCTCAGCTACTTGAGGCTCTGACTGTTGGTTTTGACTCAGGTCATGATCTCAGAGTCATGAGATTGAGCCCCACATAGGGCTCTGTGCTCAGCACGAGTCTGCCTGAGATTCTTTTCCACTCCTCTTCCCCTCCCCCTGCTTGTGCATGCATACTATCTCTTTCTCTCTGAAACAAATAAATAAAATCTTTTTTAAAAAATTAAAAATAAACATCCCAATACAACAAAATTCTGCAGTCTTTTCAATACAACATACAGTCTTGCATATTTTTAATCAACCACGATTTATTGCATATATCATATAATATACTAAGATCTAGGAGTACAAAGATGGATCAAGTATAATCTCTGCCCTCAAACATTTGTTGAAACTTAGATGCTCAAAATGTGCAAAATCTAAGACTTAATCTCAGTTTGAAAAAGCTTTGGGGAGTTAGCTAAAGATACACATATAGATATTATTTTTTTAAATCTTTAAAGAGTAAGGACCTGTTCTGTTTTTGTATTCAAAATTGTTATTATAATAAAATGAGCTATTATATTTTCTAGCAGTGAATTTATCCATCTGGACTATCTGGCCAGATCCTTGAAAGGAAAGACAAGGATCCTTTTGATAATAACTAGAAAGAGTTAGGATATGGGACTTGAAAATCACATGCAGGATAAATCTTCACCAGTCTCCTTCTCATTTGGTCTTAGGATCTCTTGGAAGCTAGGTAGAGGCCCTTATCTTTAGGTTTTAGAAATAATGTTTAAAAAAAAAAAAGGAAAAGTGTGTTGAAGGCAAACAGGATCACACAGTATCATAAAGATATTTCTACTATCTTAGAGCTCACTAGGATAAAAGCTGATATTTTTATCAGCCAAATTGGGACATAACATATTAAAAGTAAAAATTGTCAAGAGGACCTGAAAATATTATGAGATTTCAGTTCTGTCCAAAAAAATTTCTTTTTTTAAAAAAAGATTTTATTTATTTAATTGAGAGACAGAGAGTGAGAGAAAGATCATGAGCAGGAAGGAGTGGTAGAGGGAGAAGCAGCCTCCCCGCTGAGCAAGGAGCCTGATGCGGGGCTTGATCCTAGGACCCTAGGATCGTGACCAAAGCTGAAGGCAGATGCTTAACCGACTGAGCAACCCAAGTGAGCCTCTCCAAAAAATTTCTCATGCCTTCTGTATTTGGCTATATACCATTATTTATTTAAAAAAAATAAAGAAAATTCTATGTAAAATATAGTTCAACAAATTATATAATTAACCTTTATGTAATGCTTACTATGACTCAAAAACTGTGCTAAACACTTCTGATGGATTTTATGATTTACTCTGCACAACAGTCCAGTTAGGTGGGTATGATTATCATACCAATTTTCCAGAAAGAGGAAAATTAATACTTAGAAAATCCAAGTGTTTTTCCTGAAAATAAATAGCTAATTAATGGCAAAGCCAGAATAAGTGTTTTGTCTCCAAAGCAGAAGTGACTCAGCACTATACACACGGCCTCTGAAATTCACAGGTATCACCTATTTTCTGTGCGCCGGGCACTAAGAGCCCTCAACCAGGTTTCCTCCTGCAGTGAGGGAGACAAAGGGGTTAGAGCCAAGTGGCGAGCTGAGGGACTCTGTGAAATACTCTTTAGGACATAGCTACAAAGGTGATAGAAAGACAGAAACTGATGCTGCAGATGGCCTGGGGGAGGGGGGAACCTCAGGGAGGAAGAACAGTAAACTGGGCCTTGACGTGTAACGTTCTGAGTAGCAGAATTGAGGGAGGACACTGGAGGCAGCGTGAGCTGGTGGACTTCGGGGGTTAAAACCCCCAACTAAAGAATAACTGAAAACAGACTCTCTGTGGCCATTAGCTGAGCATAGGAACAGCCCCTGCTCTCAGATGAGTGTCTTGGGCATATTTTCATTAAGTATATATTTTCTCTTTGTAGAAGCTTCTTCTGTAGATTAGCTACACAGAACATGACCTGAGGCAGAAAATCTCTGCTTTGCACCAAGTGGTTGATGAGGAACTGGCATGACTTCAGGTTTTCAATTTCAAGAAAAAAAGATGATGTTACCTAATATATAAACTGAGCCAGACAATTAACAACACATGTTATTTAAAATCTTTGCAAATGTAGACTTCCAGCCTACCAAGAACCTATTGGTTGAGACATGAATGAACTTTCAGGAAACTATATGCAGATTTTCCAAGGATAGACCTATGCACTTCTTTCTAGGGTAAGGATCCATAATTTACACCATATTTTAAAACAAGTTGACCATGGTAATTAATAAAAAATATATGTATATACATTATATATATATATTACACTATATATATTATACAATATATACATGGTAATGAATAAAAATATATGTATATACATTATATATGTATATTACACAATATATTGTAATTTTGTGTCTATGTGTGTATACATACACACATACGCACAAACAAAATTATACACACCCACATAAACACATTTGGTTAATGAGAATCCAGTAGAGAAGATGTGCCAGGAATTATGTGGGCTGAGAATACCCTGTGCGTGACTTTCTGCAATCTAGTTTTTCTATAAATGAGATAAAATGGAGGAGAGCTTCCTCTCCCTCCTTTTGTTGGCTGTGCTCTTTTAGTTCTAACAAATAAGAAGATCATTGCGTAACACCCAGCCTGTGCTTCTGCCCTGAGATAAAGAGAGAGCCAGGGCAGCTGGAGTGAAGGCCAGGTCAGAGGGCTCTCTCCCATTGTCTGATGTCTGGACAAGACTCACTAGCTGAACTGCCAACCCAAGCTCAACATGAAGATGAAAAAAGCACTTCCACATGGCACCTCTCTCAGCAGAGTGGGGCCATCCAGATGTCCCCAGTGGACTGATAGAGAAAGGAACATGGGAGACATCAAACCAAGCACTTAACTTCTGTCTCTCCACCTGCAATCCCCCACCCGTGTGCCCAGCAGTTGGGCAAAGTAAGCATTAAGTCTGATAGGATATTGGTTATCACATCAAGGAATATTGCAAAAAGAATGACTTTCAGTTCCTTTTCAAATGTAATTCCTTTTGATAGGGTCTAACTTATCTAACATCTTAACTAATGACAGAGCAGCCTAATGAATAAACTAATCATTGTTCCTTACAGTGTAATGTAATATTCCGTAATATTAAATTCTATATTGTCTTACAGAAGTTTATAATCATTTTTTCTTAGTCACTTAACATAAGCACTTAGAGCAGGTCAACATTTTTTTTTTAAGATTTTATTTATTTATTTAAGAGAGAGAGAAAGAGAGAGCTTGGATGGGGTGAGGGGCAGAGGGAGAAGCAGACTCCCTTCTGAGCAGGGAGCCTGATGCAGGGATCGATTCCAGGACCTGGGATCATGACCTGAGCCAAAGGCAGATGCTTAACCGACT